GACTTCCTAAGTAAACAGATCCCTGAACTGCAGCAGCTTTGTGCTTTATAAAGCTTCCTGACCTTGTCATCATTCCTTGCATGGGATCCTTTACCAGCTGCTGTTCCTCAACTCCTACCCAGTGTTTTTATTTGGCAAAGGGGACAGTGGACAAGAATGATGGCATTGACTGGCTTGGTGATCCCTGAGAGGCAAGGCTTTGTTGGTGATCACCTTTATTGGAATAGATGTGTAGTTGGGAGATGTGTTGGACAAGCTTTGGGGCACAAAGTACCTCTCATGTCTAAGAGCAGCAGACACAGGCTAAGCTAAGTAACGGAAAAATGGCTTATGTTTAACTCCAGCATACATTAAAACAGTAATTTAAAGGATTGGAGGAAGGTTGTGAAGTAGTAGCAAAGAAAGATGATCCAAAGTAGCTTCAAAACAAGGGGGATCTAATTGATTAGACAGTTTAGTCATGTAGAGGAACAAGATAATTCAACAAGGAAAAGGGTTATTATTACCCTTGGAGTGAAGAGAGGTTAGCTGAGATAACAGATAGATTGTAATGAGTTATAAAGCCATTATCTCTGCTTAGTCCATAGTTTTTAGTGTTCAGTAGGCTTATGGATTTTTGTTCCCAGGCCTATCTTTCAGAGGTTAAATTTATCTATATCTCTCCCACCTATATTGTTCTAATAAAAAGTATCACTAAAACCTTGCCCCTCATACATATCTTGGACCACCACATCTACAATACCACCCCAACTATATTATAATATTGATGATCTCTTGCAGAGCTAGTGAATACAGGAAGAGATAAAATGACTGTTTTCCTCAGCTCTTCCTTGTCTGTAAAACACACAGGTGGCATCCAGGTACAGCAAGATATTATCAACGAATCCTAGCTAAAGGTTAGAAAATTCATAGCAAAGCTAAAATTCGGTTCTAAAATTAGAATAGGTGAAACAAACTGGATACACCACAAGTAGTGGTTTTACATTTTGTCTTTTTTTGTGTGTGTGTTTTGCAGTGGTCAGGTAATGTTGCTATATTAGCAAACTGACTCCTGTTTGCTTTATATAGTGACTTTTAGAAAGTATGACGACTTGGCCATTTCAATTTGCAACAGACTGACTTTAGTCTGACCTTCAGTTATCTAGACTGAATGTCTGTTGTTTAAAAACACCCCCCTCCCCAGACACCTAAACTGCCTTTGTGGTAAATATAGCTCCATTAAACTGTTTCTAGTAATATTGTGCATTAGCTGCAAAATTAGCAGACCTATTGGGACTTATTTGATACAAGGTTTGAAGTCAAAGAGGGTGCAGAATCGAATCCAGTATTCCCGATTCTCTTCTCCTCTGTTCTAACTCCATTATTCAATGAGCTGCTGCTTGTTTACAGCACAGTGAATTTCTTAATGTGTCACTAGGAAAGAAGAAAGATGCATCTTTAACCTGTATCAGCTGACAATGATTTTTGCATTATATGGTCATTGGACAGAGGTAGTCTTGGAAGGAGAGGCTGTAACTGAGGACCCCCCCTTCCCAGGTAAGTGGTTATGCTTCCTTTTCTCTGGCCCAGTTCATCTTGTATACTTTTCAGAAGTGAATAGCTTCTTCAGGATAAAGAGGGCCCCACCCAGAACTGCATGGACAGGCAGTCAGGGATGTGGTTTAAATATCCTTTGGCAACAAAGAGAACTGAATGAATCTTCCACTTCCTGGACAAGTGTTTTAACCACAAGGCTCTAATAAGAGGACAGTAGCAATGCTCTAAAAGAAAGTGGTGGTTTCTGCCAGTGTACGTGAGGATGCTGAAGATACCTACCCACCTAGCTCAGGGGTAGGTATGAGCTAAGCACTAGGCCCTTCTGCCCTCTCAAGCCTGGGGCAGTTCTGGGCATGAGCAGAAGTGCAAGCTCTGATTGCCTGGGCACTCTGACGTTATAAGGCGCTGTGGCATTTAATCACCATCAGTTAGGTGAAAGAAGGTTGTTTTTTTCCACGCTCCCTTTTTTTTTAAGTTAGTGCTAAATTCTATCCTAATATTCCATTCTGTAATGTTTTAAATCTATAAGATGCCAATCCTACATTGAGATCTGTTAGTGCAGACCCCAAAGCCTATGCTGAGTCCCATTAAATTCCAGAGAACTTCAGTATGGTCGGCAGCTAGTAACTGTTGGCCTGACATCGGGTCTGATCCAAAGCCTATGGAAGCCAATTAAAGGAATCCTATTTACTTAAATGGGCTCTGAATCAAGCTTTTCCAGATATGCTGAGCACTTCTAAATGTCAGGCCATGACTTATCTGAATAGACAGTTTTAAAATGTTTTTGGCACTTTCAAGCACTTTGGCCAAGTCAGACATGGAAAAAAAATGTTACTTTTATAGTTCTTAGAAACTAGAATTTCTCAAGCAATTAATCAATCCAATTTTGTACTGTTTGAAAAGAGCTATTATGCATGCAAGTTTCATAACCTTTTTAATGATGCAAAGAACCAGACATCCGAAACCGTGCAAATGGAAGAGCTGCAGCATTTTTACTGAGGTCAGCGTGACCCAATGGAATTACGTCAATAGCAGCGTCTTGTACAATGTAGAACTTATAATTATTCCACAGATAGCACGAGGAGCACCCCTGAGTGTAAAAACCTCTTCTTAAAGTTCTCGTGTAATTCCCAGACGCAACAAAAAGGCATGTTCAGGATCAATTTACTATGCAGGCTGTAGGCTGAATTTGATGAGGAAAAGTTGCTTCAAGGAACATATTCCCCAGAAGCATTTTGCAGTTTTTGACAGAAATCATTGTCATGTAGTGCATACGTACTAGCAAGCAACCTTTTTGTGTTTGTTTCTTATTTTTAACGATCGCTCGATCCTCAAACCTAACAAACTGTGTGGGTTTAAATAGATATATTATTAATTCCATTGTGGTGTGATACGTCAGGCACTCTTGAGACATATAAGAAACAGACTGTCTTTTTGTTTTGTGTTTGTAGAGCACCTACTACAAGGGTCCTGTGTTGTGACTAGTGCTCCTAAGTGCTGTGATAATACAAGTGATACTGTGGAGTACCTCAGCAGAATGGGACCTATGTCACAAAGCCCTATTAAACTAGCTGTCTTGGAAGAAGTGTCAAACAGGCAGCGATCTCCTACTTGGCAGCAGAGGCATTGGGTGTAGGCTGCACTCAAGGCTGGAGACTGTGACTGGGCTGTGCCAATGTTCCTGCTGGGACAAAAGCTGGAGGTTCCTGGCTAGAGGGTCTTGCTCCTTTGCTCAGGGTCAGACCAATCACTATATTTGGGGTCAGAAAGGAATTTTATCTTGTGTTCAGATTGACATAGACTGTGGGGGCTTTTGCTTTCCTCTGTAGCAGGGGGCATGGCCCTCTACCCAGGATCACCTGAGCATGCACTGACAACGCTTCATAGAAGCAGGACGTTGGCTGCTGTGGTTCCCCTGCTTAGCCTGTGGCAGGTTAGGGTGCTAGGTCTGTGCTGCGTCAGGGTTCGCGGTAGGGTTCAGATGATCTATTACGCAGGATGGTTTGGATATGGATGATCCTGCCTTAGGCAGGAGGGTTGGACTAGATCAGTGTTTCCCAACCAGTGGGACTCGAAGGTCATGTAGATGGGACTTCAACTCATTGCCCGATTGAAAAAAATCAGTTGTTTGCACGTCAAATACGTGAATCAACAGATATCTCCAACAGTGCAATTTTGTGGGGTTTTGTTTTTATCCTGGTAGGACCAGGGTTTTTTGACCAAATGGTTGGTGGGACATAAGGTGCAAAAGGCTGATAACTGCTGGACTAGATGATTAGGGACCTAGTTGGAGAAGGGACCTCTGGAGGTCCTCACTCCCTGAGAGGAGCCCTCCTGCTCTATGATATGGTGATCATCTTGAAATGGACCTTTTACAAAAAGCTGAGATTTATTTCTTGTTGTTAACTTGCCTGTCTGTGCCCTGCTGCTATTATAGTGCCCCCTGGTGTGCTACAAAGCCTGGAAATTTCTGGAGTAGTTCCCGCAGCATCTGGAAGATGGAAACAAGAAGTTAAATTCAAATATAGACTTGGGATGCAAGCCAATTCTTATCTTTTTGGAGAACAGCAATGGAATATGGGAATTACCTTGGCTGAAAACGCATCTAAACCGCAGATAAACAGTGGGTCTGTCTAAGCCCGAATGGCCCAACGACCATACACAGCCCTTCCCGCGATTTCCCAGCTCCTCCAACTGTCCTGTTGCGACCTGTGGAAGTACTGAAGGAGCCACGGACCCCTCAGTCTCCATAGGGGCACTTGCCTTTATATTGGGGCCTCTGAAACTCTTTTAATTTTGCATCTTTGCTTTTTTGGGGGTAGAAACCTGTGCCTCCCCATCTCCCTGTTGATTGCAAATATCTTCCTCCCATTTCTATGCCCCGGGGAACTGCTTTATAGCCGTCATCGAGGACAGCCCGCTTGTCCTCTCCCGATACAAAACTGGATGCCTTTGCGCCCTCTATTTTCCTCTTGAAGAGCCACTTTAGATTCACCCGTTACTTTCCTTTTCAGCCTTAAGGAACGAGATTGACATTTAGATGCAAAGTTTGGTACAGAAAGGTCACGGGCCGTCATCGAAGACAGCCTGCGTGCCCTCCTTCGATATGAAACCGGACGCCTGCACGCCCTCGATTTTCCTCTTGGAAAAAAACCCAATCTCGAAAAGAAAAACAGAGGACACAGAGGCGCTGGGTTTGGCATCGACAGAGGAGGGAGGTCAAGTCTCTGTCATCGAGCACAGCCCGGTCGTCCCCTCTCGATGCCGAACCCGACGCCTTGATGTCCTCTTTTTTTCTCTTCCGGGTTATTTTCTCTTCGGGATTATTTTTCAAGAGAAAACCAGGGTGCGGGGCTGCGTGTCCACAGAGCGGCCCCTCCACCCCTCGGGCAGGGCGAGGGACAAGCGTCGTTTCACACCCCCGGCGCGGAGGGGAAGGGGGCGGGGAAGGCGCCTCCTCCTCCACCTCCCCGGCGCCGGCCCCGCTCATGGCGCCGCTGGGCACATCCGGGCCTCTCCTCCTCCTCCTCCTCCTTCGGCCGCCGCCGCTGCCCTGAGCGCCCCGCGCGACTCCATTAGGCCGGGCCCGGCGCGGGGCGCGGCGGCGACATGTCCAACCCGGGCGCGCGGAGGAACGGGCCCGTCAAGCTGCGGCTGACAGGTGAGGCGCCCGGCCGGG